TCAGGGCCTTTACACTGGCTATTCCCTCTACCTGGAGGCTCTTACCCTAGATATCAGCATGGCCAACTCCCTCACTTCCCATAGATCTTTATTCTAAATGTCACTTCTCGGTGAGGACACCCAGACCACCCTCATTAAAATTGCAGCTTTCCCACATACTCCTGATTCTCTTCATCTTGCTGTTTCTTTTTTCTTCTAAACTACTGCTGAACATACTCTTTTATGTGCTCATGTATGCTTATTGTTTTTGGCCTGTCCCTCTCCACTAGACTGTAAGCTCCACGAGGGCAGAGATTTTTGTCTCTTCTGTTGTCTCTATTGATATATGCTTAAGAATAATGTCTGGCACATAGTAGTTACAGTCAGTTTTTATTGAATGAATAATTCTTAACTGTGAAGGGTGTTTGGAAAGTTAACGCAATTACAGATGATAGTCGCTAAATCATCAATGGCTAATGTTTGCTGAGCCCAGACCTCCCGCCATGGCCTATAGTAAGGGCTTTATAGGCTTTTGTCTTATTTAATCCTTACAATGATGTTAAGAGACAGTTATTCATAATATTTCCACTTAACAGTGAAAGAAACTGAGACACAGAAAGTTTAAATAAATTGTCCATAATTGTAAATGGCCCATCTCTAGTTTGCTTTAGCACCTGTAGCCTGTAACCAGTAAGTCTGGAGGAAATTATGGAATGGATAATGGAGGGAGAGGGGGAAGCATATTTCGTTGTTAACAGCGCTCTTGTCAGAGTGCTCACATTTAATTTCAGAGTATGCGGTGTTAATTTCCAGATGAGGGAGGCTTTAGTTTGTAGTTAATCCCACATCTCCAAAAATGCAGTCTGTGTTCTTCCTTTTCCTTATTGTTTAAACCCAGGTCTCTGTCCTTTCCAGAACTGGCAGCCATTTAAGCCTCAGTCCGGGGGAAGTTTGGTTCCAGGTTTCTCGTTTCCTTTTCCAGAATGGCCTTTGGGGAAAGATAAATGGTGTTCTCCCTCCTGTGAGGGCAAATATCTCCTCAGCTGAGAGTTTCATGTTAATGCTTCTTCCTTAGGAACTTTCCTGACTGCAGAATACTATTCCCTCCTGATGTGATCCCTTGGAGGGCCACGCCCAGGCCCCTGCAGCCACTTCTGGCAGGTGTCTGCTTCTCTCTCCCAGGGTAGTCCTTGTCCTCAGAGATTTGGAACACTCGTCACCTGTCAGTAGCCACTCTCAGGCTGCTGTCAGCTGTCTGACTAGATCTTGTGGGCCTGGGCCTGGACCTGGACCTACTCACCAGTGGGAGGCCTGTTCTGAGCATGAAGTTATAATATCTTCCTACTCAGCATCTGTATTATTTTTCTATGCTCTGTAATGAATTGCCACAAATTTGATGGCTCAGAACAACATGCATTCATGATCTCACAGATTCCGTAGCGTATTTAGGTTCTTTGCATCAGGTCTCATCCAGCTGCAATATAGGTGCTGTCAGGGGCTGTGATCTCAACAGAGGTTCAACTGGGGAAAGATCTGTTTCCACTGCTTCCCTTAGGTTCTTGGCAGAATTCATCTCCTTGCAGTCATAGAACTGACATCCCTGTTTCTTGCCAACTGTTATCCAGGGGCTGCCCACAGTTCTTTGCTATGTGGCCCTTTCATAACATGGCAGCTTTCTTTTTCAAAGCCAGCAAGAGGAACATATAGCTCCAGTCTGCTGAAATGGAATCTTATAGCATAGTGTAATCACAGGAGGGATACCCCATCCTCTTTGCCATATTGTGATGGTTAGAAGCAAGGTTCAGTACCTGTCCTCACTCAAAGGGAGGGTTTTACAAAGGCATGAACACCAGCAGGTGGAGGTGATTGGGAGGAAGGGGTCACCTTAGCGTGTGTTCACCAGAGCAACCATATTTAATGTGGTTAAATTGTGGAGGTAATCCCTGAAGCCAGGGAAGACCTATTAGTTGCTCATCTATTCCCTCAGCAGATGTTGGATTCGCTTTGCCAAGACTGTAGGTCAGGATGTGATTTTTCATGTGGCATCTAGAAAATTTGTAATAATGCCTATTTTTGTTGATTTTTTGTGCTCCTTTCAGTTCAGATGTAACTGAGTCAATTATCTGATGAAATGAACCAGAGATGCCTCCCTTCTTATAGTACTTCTTGTTATAGAACCAAAGATGGTAGTTATGAGGTCCTCTACTAAAGGTTATTCCTTATGAACCTGGGCTGTTGAGCTGCTGAAAGGCAGACTCATCTTCCCTCTGTTCATCTTATGAGTGTTTTACTGAGTGGATACAGTGTTGACTTATTTAAAATGATTCCTGTTTTTTAGCCTACTCATTTAAAATCTCAGTGTGTGTGTGTGTGTGTGTGTGTGTGTGTGTGTGTGTGTTTATGTTTTTTTTTTTTTTAATTTTATTTTTGACAGAGAGACAGAGTGTGAGCGGGGAAGGGGCAGAGAGAGAGGGAGACACAGAATCTGAAGCAGGCTCCAGGCTCTGAGCTGTCAGCACAGAGCCCAACACGGGGCTCGAACCCACAAACCATGAGATCATGACCTGAGCCAAAGTCGGCCGCTTAACCAACTGAGTCACCCAGGCACCCCCTCCAGTGGGTGTTTATAAATAACCTCACACAGTCTGACCTTTGTCTTCATATGACAGAGCAGCTGGGATTTCACATGTTAGAACACTGTCTTCCCACGCCTGTCTTTGTTGTTGGAGACCCCACGATACGCATGACAGGATGTCATGACCACGTCTTCTCTTTCAAAAGTCTGAAATATTCTGCTTTAGTTCCTCTCAATAGGTCTTTTGTTTGGGGGGGGATAGAGGATGAGAATGTGGGGGGAAAATGAGAACATGATTCCAGTCTGTGATGAAGTTATAAAGCAGGAAGACTGGAGCGCAGAATCGGTTTCTTTTTTGGAGTTAGTTTATTCCAGTTTGACCAGTAGGAATCAGTTTATTCTTTCACATTTCAAAAGTATGTGCCTCAGTCCCTACGCCTGAAAGGATATGTTAGAAGGAAAAATAAAATCAAGATATGCTATTGACCTTTGGTTACCCAATGATAATTGCACACCTGGGAAAAACCAAATCCTCTTTAAAAATTTTTCACTTTTGAATTCCATGTAAATCATACCCAGATGGTCAATGGTAGCACATAAATTGCTTTTCATGATATATAAGAATCTTAGAAATCATTTTTTAAAATATAGCAAATATGCATTCAGAAACCATTGATTTGGTAGGATATATGTGTATTCAGAGTTCTGTATGAAAGTGCCCACTTTAAGAATTTTCTGGCCGGGGCGCCTGGGTGGCGCAGTCGGTTAAGCGTCCGACTTCAGCCAGGTCACGATCTCGCGGTCCGGGAGTTCGAGCCCCGCGTCAGGCTCTGGGCTGATGGCTCAGAGCCTGGAGCCTGTTTCCGATTCTGTGTCTCCCTCTCTCTCTGCCCCTCCCCCGTTCATGCTCTGTCTCTCTCTGTCCCAAAAATAAATAAACGTTGAAAAAAAAAAATTTAAAAAAAAAAAAAAAAAAAAGAATTTTCTGGCCACCCCTGCTCTCACAGAGGCTGGCATGGGCCCCTCTTAGGTAGAGCTCCTCATAAGTGGGCCAGGAGAGCCCTGCTCACCCCTCAGCCAGTGGGGAGTGACTGTGCGTGTGCTGTAAGCCCTTGGACAGAGTCCAGCGCCCTGGTCCCTAAGTCCTGATCCCCATGACCAGCCACCCAGAGAGAGAGCAGACACGCCCCGCTGACACTTAACTGCAGTCCATTTCTTCTTGCCTTATCCCTGGCTGGGTGGGCCAAGGAATCACCTTCAATTTCTGATGATCACGTGGCTTTCAGGAGTTCCTCAAGCCCCCATACAAGAGCTCCCTATAGGAGCTCTTCAAAGGCATGGTGTGGAGTGGTAGAATTTCCTTCTGGTATCACTTGCTGCTGGTTCTCCTGAGTGTTGCATGATGTACATGATGTGCACAGTTACATGTGGGAAGGACAGAAGCGGCCAAACCACATGGGTGGGGAAATGACAGGGCCATGCTGGATGCCTCTGCACCGACCAGAAGACTGAAATTGTTTGCCACAAACAACCCTTTATATCCACTCTTTCCCCAGGACTTTAGTTGCCATATATCTCGATAGATAGATAGATAGATAGATAGATAGATAGATAGATAGATATAATTTTTTTAATGTTTATTTTTGAGACAGAGACAGAACGTGAGCGGGGGAGGGGAAGAGAGAGAGAGGGAGACACAGAATCCGAAGCAGGCTCCAAACTCTGAGCTGTCATCACAGAGCCCAATGCAGGGCTCGAACCATGATATCATGACCTGAGCCGAAGTTGGGTGTTTAACCGACTGAGCCACCCAGGTGCCCTGCTTTATATTCTTTCTTTAATGCATCTTTAATTTTGGTAGATTTTGCCAGATTGCCTTCTGTAGGGATTGAACCTTTTAAAAGTTCTTTTAAATTAATTTTAATTTTCCAAGTGCTATAAGAATATACTATCTTCAGAAAAAGTGGAAAAAATTAAAGATACAGCTAAAGTCAATTTCAGTTACCGCCACCAGCCCTAGACCCAGTTCCCCTGCAGACAGATCCTCTCCTTCCCCCAGAATTAAATGCTGTTGTTGGTTTGGTGTGCCTTTTTGTCTATGCCTTGGCAGATATAAACCCATGGGAAATAAATATTATGGTAATGTGTGTGTGTGTGTGTGTGTGTGTGTGTGTGTGTGTGTGTGTTGTTTAACGCATAAACCATATTGTACTAAAATTCTATAATGGTGTGTTTTACTTAATGCTATGTCTTGGAGGTCTTTCCATGATGTGTATAATTATACATCTATGTATAATTTGAGTTTTTACCATAAATTATTTTTCAGCAGTGCCTTTTTGGTATTTACTTTCAGGAAAGAATTTGGGGTTTATTAAATACCCAATGATTCATACATAAGTATATTACAAAATCTTAACCTTTGGTTGTTTTTTCCCCCTCTCTTCAGATCTCAGAAAAATGATCTCCACAACGAACGCTACATCTTGGAATTAGATTGCTGTTCCTCCTTAGACCACCTGACGGGCCAAAAGCTCATCCCGGAGTTCATTAAGAAGGTGAGCCCTGTGGTCAGGAGACAGTTGAACAGTTGTGCAGCGCGAGCCGGCCGGGGGCTGGCCAAGGGCAGTTCAGCCACACCGCACAGGCCAGGGTAGCAGCCAGTGCCTCCTCACACCTGGGCCTTCGGGCGGCCCCACAGGGGTGCAGCACCCCCTACCCCCCGCGCCCCCCCCCACACATAGCTCGGGCTGACAATGACTCTGAAACAAGATGGCTTCCCCCCTTCCCAGTCTGGCGAGACCTTGAACCTTGTCTTTTAAGGCTGGAGCGGCATTCACAGCGAACAGGCCTGTGGGCCCACTGCTGAGACTCCTGCCAAACCCTCAGGGTGGTGGGCCACTCCCCACCGCCAGCCCGGATCCCACCTTCCACTTGTCCTGTGGGGCCTCATTGCTACGAGCCGCCTTTCTTTCCTAGTGTGGGAGCAGCCCAGAGCCCCGTGACCACTGGCATATGCAGTTACACAAGGGAAAATTGCCTACTTGCAGGGGAGTCCTTCTCTGCCCAGAAATGTGTCTGGTTTTGAATTTCTCATCATGCCATACGAGGTTCCCTGCCTAATTGCAGGGTTCACCTGAGTTTCAGTAGGACATTCACTGCAGAAGGAATGTCCTTGCCCGGACTGGGGCTAAGTTCACTCCTTAGTGCTTACCTTGTTCTCTCTCGCCCAGTCTCCCACAACAAGTGACAATTCCCCATCCTGGAGAGGTGATTATGGCTTGTTTGGGACTTCATCTGTCAGCTAATGAATTCATTAATAAATAGTGTTGGCCGTCAACTTTGGGCCAGAAATACCGCATGCCTGCTTGGTGCTGGACATGGAGAACAGCCGTGGTCCCCGCTCTCAGGCCCTCAGGTCCTCACACCTGTAAGGTGGACCCCGGAGGAGAGTGATGAGCGTTACCAGCAGGGAAGCAGCAGACACCGTGTGGGGTGGGTATCAGTGGGGGGGAGGG